TTTCTCAAGTCGCTATCTCTACTTGCTCTCTCGATCACAGTCTAACAGGACAATGCTGTAGGAATATGAAGTATGGCTTGTGGAGTTCCTATCTTGTGCCTTGAGAAAAACTTGGACAAGCTTTATAGAGTCTTGTCGACGCTGTTTACCCTTATCTAGCAAACCGTATTTATTCACTTGGACGTGACAGAACGGAGCTGTATTTCTCCCTTGTGAAGCTGGCGATTTCAAATCTGTTGCATCATCCCGTAACATGAATGCGCAAGAAGGTATACAAGAATATATCACGCGCATACTATGTAACCCTCGCGAAGCACCATTTGATCCTTATACTAGCGTTCTGTGAGCCAGTCATCATCACTCTTGTCTCTCTGTATATTGCATCGTGCGTGTCGTACATGTATCAAGCCATGTCGGATACGAAACAGCAGAGCGAGGAGGCGGCACGTGATGAGATGCTGGAGATACTGTTGCGGCGTCTGTCTCTATAGGCAGGTGCTGACAAGAAGCTATGCAGTAAGGTCGACATGTAGACTGTAGTTGTACATAATACTTGAAGGGAAGCTGCTGATGGTGGTGGACGCTCAGGTAGTCAATTGTGTGTCGCTGGACATCAGACATGGCTTGTATCCCAGCCTGCAATTAATTTGGCACAACGCCACGGACTGTAGCAGGGCTCTCGCCCAGCAGAGAAAGAGAAGACAGCAGCGGTTGCTCAACTGGCGGACTAGGCCTTGCGAGAATACTGTGCTTTGCAAGATACTCCCGCGAATAGACGGGACTAGGTGGTGGGACAGCACCATAAATCCTGGGACCTATCCGTCCGCATGCCCTATGGGAGACTTTTAGGTAGGACGTTAAATCTGAACACACACAAACACACACATGGCTTGTATCACTGTAAGCCGTGGGCTTCACCCGTCCGTATGCCCCCTTAGAGACTTTCAGATAGGACGCCAAGCATGTACATGCATACATACATAGACATGACTTGCAAGTCATCACTCCTGCATCAAGGCATTGAAGCTAGCAACATAATCCTGGATTAACGCTGTCGATTATCAGCTCATACATAAAACCTGTTCAAGCTATCCCAGCCGCGTTTCTTTTTTTACATTTCCATGCTTATGATCACACCGAAAGCCCATGTTCGCAATCATGTAGTGTGGTTGCACTACCAACTACAATCAGTCCTCATTTCCTAGACCCACTTTACCCATCCTCATCTGGCATGATATTACGCAAATTTTTTCTTCCTCACGCCATCCCGGAAATATTCAACCATGGGCTTTGTGTAACACAGTGTCTGCACTTACCTTGTACTGTTCATTGCCGAACAACAAGCCATGTTGTGGGTAGCTTTGCGGTGGGCTGTCATGGTTACGAAATGAGCGTCCGTGCCGAAAATTCTTCCGTATTACCATATGGCAAGCAGAAAAATTCTCACCTGTCAATTGAGGAGGGGATGCAAGTGCGTACGTGCGCATGCTATCGAGAGGTCATGGCAGTGATCCAGAGCTATGGGAAGTGTGGATGATCCATGGACTCAAAGTGATGCCTGGCTATTCTTCCAGTGTTGATAGGCTGTTTAACCCATGGTGGAGTCATGTTGCTTATGCGACCACATGAATAAATCTGGCAGACCGTCATGCAGCGATGTATCCTTGGAAATATGCACTTCAAGGCAACAAACAATCCAAGTCTCCATGCTAAATCGCCAGTTCAATGGACTTTGAGATAAGACCAATACTCCTTTCAGGTCCATCGTTCATTTATTGGTTCTTTACAAAATCGGTTAGACACTCGATAAGAAGCCCATGTTGCCCGAGTCACGTACAACCACAATCTCACACAACAAGTCGTCTTAATGAAGAATTGAATTCATGGAATAAAGCCCCTAGAGCGAGTGTATTAAATAAGCGTTCCCGTAGACGTAACCGTTAAAGCATCTAAACGTAACTAGGACGAATTGCTATTATCTGCGCATGAAAACGCAGAATCAATCGAACCATCTTTGTACGCCTCCTTGATCTGAACAATCACGCCATATGTGCCTCCGACAGTCAGGAATGCAGAAAGACCGATAAGCGCAACGTGCAACAAGTACATCATCTTTTGCGGAAATGATCCTCTCCAGTGGTCGCGGTGGTCGTAGATCCACAGCCAACCCGGATAGCCAATTCCCAGGGGAGCAAACGCGAGACTTCCAGCAAGACTGAGTAGGTAGTTGAAGATTGGTACTCCTGAGGCGATCAGGAAGCTGACAATGGTCATGCCGCCTACGCATCCAAACCATGTGCCCCAATGGACAAACGTGTTGGACTGCAGATGTCTGGACTTGCGCAGAATTCGGACGAAAATGTACTTGGCACCAATGTGGACGTATAGGGCGCCACTGACGAGCAGTCCAATGATACCGATTCCGTATGCCACCTTTTTGATGGTAGGTCCAGCACTGCCCAAGGACGGCGAAGCAACCCATTTACCACACCATTTGTATACAACCAGACTGAAAGATAGGTAGGCGGCACCGACAAAGGTCATGCAGGTCATTACTGACCTACCAAAGTGGCGGGGATTGCGCATTTCCGACATGACGGGGAGGAAAGCAGACGTGGCGGCCGAGGAGCAAAAGATCGTACTTGCGGCTGTGATGCCAGCTGCAAATGTTGGATGGCCGATAACATGGTATCCGAAATCATAAGGACCGGTTTGAGGTGCTGCAGCGGGTCGATCGCGGGTCGTTACTCCAATTCTGAGGTTTGTGTAAGCTGAGTGTCAAAAAGAAACGGAATAAAGATTCTCTACTGGCACGCGCCGAGCTGAGCAAACCAAGGACGGAGAGAAACTTACACGACGATGAAGACGGCAATAAAGACCGAAACAAAACCAGCCCAAGTGATCCATGCAATCTTCTCAAACTTCCTCACACTCGCACAAAGGCCGACCATAAGCGTTGCAATGAGGGAAAAGTAGTTTGTGCACAGCGAGTGGTTGGAGAGCGCGTTGAGTGCAGTCGATACACCCACGATGCCCGATGCAGCCACGATAACGAAGGCAACCAGGAAGAGAATACCGGTGATTTCCTTGACAATAGGTCCGCCAACAAGCAGACCCATATCAGCAATAGAATGGCACCCCGGGTGCCTCATGCGAAACTGTCCCAGGACCAACGCAGCCCAAGTGTTGATAGCCTGCCAGCCGATGACATTGATGGCACCAGGCAAAGCACCAAGGACATACATGGCCGAGGGAATCGTAAGCACACCAGTTGCGAAAATGACTAAAGTTGCACAAGTCAGTCGATTTTTTCAAAACATTTGCGCGAAAACATGTTGACATTCACAACAATAAACAACAAGAGAATATTAAAGTCTTACTCTTCAGCAAAATCATGGTCGTCTGAATCCATCCCACAGTACGGAAATCCTCATATCCCTCTCCCTTCTTGAACACCTCATTGTCATTCTCCAGGTCAGATTTCGCCTCACCGATACTTCCAGAGCTATGGCTCGGCGCCGGCGCAATAACATCCTCGTTCTTCTCAGCCATGATTCGCAACCCGAAGGACCGACCGCGAAGCCAAAAAGGACAGACACAGGCGAGAGAGGCAGCAGTAGGCCAAGAAACAGAGGCCGTACGTATATCTTCTGATATACAGAAAGGTTTTGAAGGAAGAGAAGATACCAAGAAAAAGACAATCGAATAAAAGGTGATGACTTCAATTTATCTAAGCGCTTTTGCTGCTGCTGCTTGGGTCGGCGGGTCGGCGGGCGGTGGGCCCACCATCCCGTATGTTGGCGTTTTGAATAAGATCGCACAGGTACCCTGGTGCACCCTGGATGGGGAGGGGGGGACGCGCGAACTCACCGTAGGAACACCGAGGGGGGAACTAGGCATGGGTTAATAGGGGACCAAAGCAGGTAGGCCGCGCTTAGGCGAGTTCCTAAGAGTTACTTATCTTTGGATGGAAATTCTGAAGTTTTATTTTCTGCAGGTGCTTGAGTAATGTACTTTAGAATATAGAAATTAGAATTGTTTTCTTAAAATGTTTAATGTTGAGCTGGATTGTTGTTGTTTTTAGCATAGAGATGTTTATTAAAGATATTTGAAGAAAAAAAAACTTTGAACAAACTTGCTTCTTCTCCTCTCTATTCTTTGTCTCTAATTTTTTTTACAATATTATTTACTCATATCTGCACATTCTTTAGAAATCCGTTTTACTAAATATTAACTTAAAACATTCTACTCCTTAACCCAATCTAGCAACGTTGGGCACCTACTCCACCAAGCCCACCCAATCAAAGCAAGCAATCCCCCTCCCTCAGCGCGTCTCCCATCCAGTTGCGTGCGCGTCTACCAACACCACAAAGCAACACACCCGCGCTCGCGCTATCGCAGAATCCGGGGGTGGGATGTGGGTCGCGGAAACGTACGGGCCGGAGGAGTTTGGAGGTGGCCCCGGCAGATAGGATTGCGCAGCGGGGCGGCACGGAACAAGCTTACTCCAAAACGTTGACGTGTCACAACCCTGCATTCCCAAATGATTTTTTTTCTATCCGCTAGTCCTTGCCCATGGAGTAAGAGGGGATCTTTGCCCTTACTTACAAAACAGAACCACTTTACCCATTTACTCCAATTTTCGATGGATGCAAGGAATATCCTGGGGAAAATTAGTTTGTTGGAGATGATTGACGGGCAGGATGGTACATTGTGTAAGATTGCTAAATTGATGCTGGGTTTTTTTGTTGTCGTGCGTGTATTGTTGCGCACACTCGGAGGATGACTACCGCCTATGGACATGGCTCTATTGGACATGGTTGGTGACTCGCTATCACGAACGGCATATTATGTAACGAGCGAATAACGATATCAGGGGCGCCGAGTCAAGATACCTGAGTGATTATTTTGCATTGAACCAGGATGATTAAGCCAGACTAACGACGCGACAAAATCCAATACAATAACAGGACGGTTCTCAGCTCAGTCATGTGCTTTGCTTATTCCTTCAATTTAGCTCCCACGGGAGCTGGAAGTAGGGCACCTGCAGCTGGCGCGTTCTTCTTCTTGAACTCGTCCGCCATCTGCTCCATGGTTACAAACTCGACGCCCTCATGCTTCTTGAAATGTTCAATCAGTCTTTCGTGCATGAGAAGCAGGTGTGGTCGCCCAGATACATCAGGGTGAATTGTCAAAGGCTATTCATGTCATGTTAGCTACGACAATGGGATAGCAGTATATAGTCTGGCGAAGACTCACAAAGATGAACTCGTCATACTCGCGATAGAAGTAGTCAAAATGGTCCCTCCAGAGATCTTCAGTGTCACGTGCATTGACAAAGCCGTGGCTGTTTGGAGAGCCCTTGATGAACATGTGTGGTGGCAAGTCCTAGACATTGCATGTTAGTCGATACGAGGACCAATCGGTTGATATCGCTCTTACATCAAGGTACCAATTGGCAGGAATTTCTACGAGGCCAGTGTCCTGACCTGCAACCAATGGCTTCATCCAGTCCTGAGCTTTCTTCTTGTAGTCAATCTTGGTCCATGAGTCGCCAGTTCTTAGATAGTAGGGCTGGCAATCATGGTGGCTCATGCTATGGTCATACTCAATGCCATATGAGAGCAGCAGCTCGGCACCTTCACGGCTTGTCTCCCACCTTTGACGATCATTAGCATGGTACACAGGCGTATCATGTCAAAAAGAACCATACCATGGAGCTACGCTGCCTCGAGGGGGCTTTCCAGCAAACTCGGTCAGCATGCGATATGTCTTGTCAAGAACATCTCTTTGCTGCTCAATGCTCATGTCAACAGGGTTCTCATGGCTGTATCCATGGAGGCCAATTTCGTGGCCAGCATCGCGTACAGCCGCCATGTCCTCAGGGAACGTCTCTAGACTGTGCCCCGGAATGAACCATGTAGTCTTGATGTCGTACTTCTTGAACAACTTCAGTAGACGCTGGGTGCCAACAGTTCCCGCAAAGAGCCCACGACTGATGTCACTGGTACTGTCCTGTCCGCCATAGGACCCCAGCCAACCACAGACAGCATCGACATCAATTCCATACGAGATGAGTACACGCTTCTTGCCCATTGTTGCTGGATGAAGTGGAAGGTGGGGGTATACTCTCGAGTAGGGTAGCTGATCGGTTCCGCAGGAAGTGTTACCAACTGAGATTCAATGCGAATTAACAGGTTGACCGGCTGTGCCGGAAGTTGATCTGCTTATTACCTTGATACTGAGCTCTGAGAACTATCGCGGGGTAACGAGCAGATGGAGGGGCACGGCAGCCGATAGCGACTAGTCGGCTTGGTCACGGGAATCGGAGCCCTGTTACAGCGTTCGTCCCTGCGTACCACCATGTGTACCCTCGCTTATCTTATCGCAGTAACCCCAACCTCCAACCTCCAACCTCCAGTTATATCCGGTTGACCTAGAGGGAATCCATTCGGCCCAAGTGGCGGCGGTGTACACACCTCCACAGGGCTCTTGGTACGAAGCGTACAGTGCGTGTAGTAAAATGCCACGATGGCGCCACATGATCTCTCGTGCATGTGCGGAGCCGATCAATCTACAGGGGGATGTTTGAGAGCATCGCCCAGTTTTGGTGACATCATCTCGACAACGAGGGGCCTAGCTTCTGGAAGCAGTGTGAAGAAGCAAATCAGCCTTGTTGGTGTAGTATATTGTGCCTCACTGCAGAAGAGATGATACCATACGTAATGCGCTTGCATGTCGTTACTAACTCTTGCTATTGCGTCTTTAGGCGCTTTGAGCAAGTCGCACCAGGATTCTTCATACATGCTACCGGTACACGAGTCAGTCAGCAATATCAAACAACCAACTGCGGACACTCAGGGTCTGTAGGTAGAATTATACACCGCCGGAAAAGATTGATTGGTTCTTTCGACGGAGTAAATATTGGTAGACGATGCGCCGGTCGCCGACAACATACATACAACCCTAGAGTCCAGCCGGTCCAATGCCCATATTGAGAGTAGAGAGTTATTGCTGGCATCAAATGCGGTACCGCTTATTTTGGGTGCCTGTCAGTGTCTCTTCTGTAGAAGATGTGCATCTGATAAGTGCCGAGGTGGAATTCCGTCGACCCCTCAAGTTCAAGCTACCCATGGCTGCTGACGGCCTGGAAATCATGCGATGGTCATGGGCAGTCTTGTGGCAAAATCTTACCATGTGCTTGAACTATGTAGATACTCGAGCTAGAGATGGTCATGCTCTAAGCCGAATACAGCTCTATAAACGGATGAAAGAATCGCTTTTGGTCAAGGGCATGCAGCAGTTGTAGTCTAAAGAAGCTCGGAGCAGACAGGAAAAGGACATGTATCCAGAGTGTCGGAAATTAACTTACGTAGATTGATGAGCGGTAAGTTAGTCATCTACTTGGGATATTGAACCATCTGTGTTACAAGCTCATACTAGATGGACTAGTGTCGGTACCCACTTTAGCGTGCGTGCGCGAGTTGGGGTCGGTTGGAGAGACTATCACATCAGCATCCTCTGAAAAACCATCGATCCTCCACATCTTCAAATTCAACGCCATTGGCTGCATTGTACGTAAAACATTCCTCCTTATAATAGAGAGTTGGATGCTTCATACATCGAGCAGCTCAGCGACTTTTCAACTGCAAATTCAACCCTTTGAACAGTTTTCCTCTGTGCAGTCATACGTCATCTGTTCAATATGTCCGTCTTCTTTGACTCCCCAATCAGGTTTGTCCCATTCCGATTATCGAATCATGGGGTTTGATGGTATGCTGACACATGTTTAGTGAAAACCTCGTGGCTGAGGGTGAGGCAGAGTCGGTATTGAGTAGCATCGGCGTCACCAATGGAATATCACCCAACGAGTCACGCGATTACCAACAACTCCTCGCTGCCGTACATGATGTAGCTCAACATGTACTGGACTTGCCAGACTACGTAGCACGTGCAGACTTCAGCAAGTACCCACGAGAACAACTCCACCGGCCATCAAAAGACGAGCAAGACTATGGCAACGCCTGGGCTCACAAATTCCTCATCCGCGGCAATCCGGAAGCGACTCTACTTCGAGGCAAGACGGTCTGTCTCAAAGACAATATTGCAGTTGCTGGTGTCCCACAGTTTTTTGGAACAGACGCTATTCCGCCATGGACTTCCGACTCGGATGCCACAGTAGTCCGACGAACATTAGACGCTGGTGCTCATATTGTGGGAACGGCAATATGCGAGAACTTCTGCAACTCAACTTCCTCATTTACTTCGGCACAAGGGCATGTAGACAATCCATATGCAGAGGGCTTCTCAGCTGGCGGAAGCACGTCAGGGGGCTGTGCTGTGGTCGGGGGTGGACTTGTCGACATTGCAATTGGTGCTGATCAAGGAGGCAGTATCCGTGTGCCATCATCGTTCTGCGGCTGTGAGTATAATCTGATTGGCATATAACGTCCCCTGCTATGACAGTTGACTAATGTATCGTGACAGGTGTAGGACTAAAACCCACTCACGGCCTAGTCCCATACACAGGCGTGTCGAGTGGTGACCCAGTTAGTGACCACGCTGGGCCTATTGCGAGAACCGTCAAAGATGTAGCTCTATGCTTAGAGGCCATCAGCGGAAGAGACGACTATGACGACCGCACTCTCGGTGCACCAACACATGGATCAACACACTACACACAACGACTTCAAAACTCCGTCGCTGGATTCAAGATTGGCGTTCTCAAAGAAGGATTCGAGCACAGGATAGTCGACCAGGAAGTGCGTAACACTGTTCAGAACGCGGTTGAGTCTTTCAAGCGTCTTGGTGCCACTGTCGAAGAGGTGTCGTTGCCTCTCCATCTCGAGGGACCAGCCATCTGGACTATCCAACAACGAATTGCCGGTACTCTTGGTATGCTAGGCTATGCACACGGGCGAAGAGGTCTATTCTCAACAGCCTACGAAGCAGCACGTCAACCATGGACAGACGAATCGTTCCAGAAACTCTTTCCCTCGACCAAAAATACGATGATCAACGGCCTCTCACTCATGCACAGCTATCCCGGTCTCTACGCGAAAACGATGAACATTGCACAACAACTGCGTGACTCATACGAAGAACTTTTCCAGAAGTACGACGTTATTGTCATGCCCACAACACCTTTTGTGGCACCACCTAATGCGGACTGGAAGCGTGGAGATCGGCCCATGGATGCGCTCAAACCAAGCATGGGTATCACGATTAACACGGCGATTTTCGATGTGACTGGCCACCCAGCCATGTCACTTCCTGTGGGATTTGCACCGTCGAATGCAGATGCACAGGTGATGCTGCCAGTTGGCATGCAACTGGTAGGCGGCTTGTGGCAGGAGCAAAAGGTGCTGGACGCCGCTTTCGCTTGGGAGTCAGCGAATGACTGGAAGAAAATCGGCCACAGAATGGATCAGGAATCGAAGCTAGCAACAAAGCTATGAAACACCATGATAGATGATGGATCAGTTGGGCGATATCCTTGATGTTTTGCTGGGAGGCAAAAACGTTCTGTTCTTTTTTTGAAACTTATTTCAACCTTGATGTCGTACGTAGCTAGACTAATTGATTGTGTAACCACCATCGACAACGAGCGCATGGCCCTGGATGAACGACGACTGGGAAGAACACAGGAAAAGAACTGCATCAGCGACTTCTTCAGGCTGGCCCATTCGTTTCATAGGTGCAATGTCAATGGCTGGCTTCAGTGCCTCAACCATGGCTGGTGAAGTGGTGGTCATGGGTGTTTCAATAACGCCTGGACAGACGCAGTTGACGCGTATGCCGTTATCGGAGTAGTCGATGGCATTAGCACGGGTCATGTTGATAACGGCAGATTTTGAAGCGCAATAGGCGGCTACGTGTTTTTATTAGCAATCGAATGTCTCTAGAGTCGGCCCTACTTAGGGAGGACTGACCAGCACCCGGCCTAGCGACCACACCGAGTTGACTCGCGATGTTGACAACGGCGCCTCTCTGCTTGAGATGTTCGGCAAGAGGCTCCTGCTTGAGCATGTTCCTCAACTGAGCACGGCAGCTGAGCCACGTGCCCCTGTAGTTGATGGCAGTTAAGCGGTCGAAGAAGTCGGTGGGCATGTCGACGGCTTTGACAGTGTCGCCCCCTAGAATCCCAGCGCAGTTGACAGCGTAGTCCAGCCTCGTGAAGTGAGCAGCCACTCTGTCCATGAAGGCATCTACAAACTTTTCGTCGGCAATGTCTCCTGCTTCATCGAGGACGCTCGCAGAGGGGTTGATGCGAAGTATGGCATCCTTTGTGTATTGCAGGGTGTCTGGGTTGATATCGGTAATGGCGATTCGAGAGCAGCCAGAGCGTACAAAGGCCTGAGCGACAGCGGCGCCAATACCTACATCGATGGCATGAGATGAGTATGCAATGTCCATGTCACGTGCTTCACACGACGACGACGGCCGCCAACGTACCAGTCCCTCCCGCGCCCGTGACGACGGCGACACCAGGGAGCGATCTCACGAGCGATGACATGTTTGTGCGGAGAGAATGTCCTTACTGTAATGAAGACTACTTACCGTGTAGCAGGAGTATACATGTGCGGGTTGACTTGGTTGATCGACACAAAATCGTTATCTCGGCGTGGCCGCCAGCGTCCCGGGGGCTTGGAGTAGACGCTGAGGTACCCCGCACGCCAGCATCAGCCAAGACGCTAAATAAAGGGACATCTTGGGCGGGACTTACCATAAGACCCACGTCGCTCCAATTTCTCTCCAACACTTGCCGCCACATGCATAAACTCACCCACACTTGTAGCCATTGCTCGAGAAGCTTCAAGCGAGCAGAACACCTGACCCGCCATCTCCGAACGCGTCGGTGCCTCCAAATGAGCGCTGTTTTGTTGAAGCAAGCCTACAGTAGCTGATGCAATAACCTAGATACCAGAGAGAAGCCCTATGCTTGTCGATGCGGCGCAGCTTTCACGCGACGGGACCTGCTTACCAGGCATTGGCGCATTACGCACCATGCCAACAGCCCTGATGCTGCCACGTCAACATGCTCGACTGAGACGACAACAGCAATTCATGTAGCCGCGCCTCAGCACCAAGAACCGTCCCATGTGCACACAATCGCGTCTAACGCGTCGACTGTCCCTGCTACGGCGCCTGCCGACTCTCGTCTCGTCGTCCAGCAGCCCCACTCAAATCATGTCGATTTACATGCCTCTACCCGCGTCTATCAGAACGCCCCGTCCCAGTTGATCCCCCAGGGTAAGTCCTACCTACTCTTGTCTGGCATAAGCATGGCTCGGTGCTCAAGTAGCATGCTGAGTATCATTTTAGACCTGCCTCCACCGCCCCCATATCGTGATGAAGGGCTCGATGACTTTCGTGACTTTGTCAACTTCATTGATGGCGTTGGCTTGTCGGCACAGTGGACGCCTGAGTATGATTATGACTGGATGCGAATTAGCGAGCACCAGCCTGAACCAACAAGGGCTTCTCGCGAACCGCAAACATCTCAATCACCAGGTCCTGAGGATATCGGTACCCCTTTTAGCACGTGGCTGCCATCGGCGCCAGCTGACGATCAGGTACACCTAAGATCGCATACAGAAGATAGTAAGTCTTCTCTTGCAGCACTAAACCACAGCCGTGTTAACCAATCATTCGAGACCCCGGCAATGAAAGAACCAGAAGCGGAACTTACACTGTCACTGATGATCATCGCAACTTTCTGGTATCACTTCTCGGGGCCTTTCCTGCTCCCATATCAAATTTTGATATACCATCTCGACATACTCTTACCCGCTACATTACCGCCTTTTTCGGCGGCTTCCACTCACATTTTCCCTTCATACATGGGCCAACTTACAGCCCATCGACATCACCCCTGGAGCTGACCCTAGCCATGTGCGCCGCTGGAGCACAGTATTGCTTCGAGCGAAAAAGTTCGGAACGTCTGTTCCAAACCGGCAAAGCCATTGTTTTTGAGCGTCTACGCCTGGAAAAGGCGCACTTCAGCCCGCAGACGATGGCTTTGGTCAGTTCTAGCAATGATATCATGTCAGACGTCCCCCCTACAAGTAGACGGACAGGTCCATGGTCACCTCTCGATATGGCAAAAACATTACTCATCTTAGTAGGATTCGCCACATGGGAAAGGACGGGACTATTACAACAAGCTTTTGCCTTGAGAGGATTGCTGGTACAGGCGCTTCGGGACATTGGCCTTCAGGAACGCGAAACGTGTCTCGGTGGCACTTCCTCCAGATCGGCCATGTGGGACAATTGGGTGCAGAATGAGTCCGCCAGACGTACGAAGCTTGTAGCATTTTGCTATATCAACGTACATAGCATCGCGTACAACATCAACCCATTGCTCTGGAGTAGTGAGCTACATCTACGGCTTCCTTGTGGTACACAGGAGTGGCAGGCTCCCAGCGCTGCACAATGGGTGGCCCTTCAACGTGAGAGCAAGGAAGAGCAAATGCAATTTCAGCAAGCCCTGTCCATACTCCTTCAAAGCTCAACAAATGAAGGTGAGCCACTGCTACGGTCAACGATCCTAGCTTTCAATGTGATGCTAATAGTTTCTCAGAGCAAGTACATCCCATTCCCAGTCCTATTGGTAACTACATCCTTTTACATGCATTACTACAACGGATCCACGTGGTGCGCGAGCTTTCATTTCCTGCTACTTCTCCTGCAACCATCTCGGTGGCTGAGATGCATGTAATTGGACGCGCTCTTCGTGGATGGACTTCACTTTGGCAACAAACCCCAGAATCCATGCTCGACCCAAATAATGAAAGCGGGTGAGTAGAAGATCATGCAAATACTTGCATCTATGTGCTGATATGTCAAGGCCTATCCCATTTACGTCAAGCGCACTTCTGGTAGTGGCTTATGTACGCCTCTCATTGAACATTGGACCGCATCGACATCTGGAATCCCGCGATGCAGATGTTATCGCAGCCGGCCTTATGCGCGTTCCAGATATAGAGCGCAACGACATGCTTTTATCAGCACTATTGTATTCCACTCATGCACTCAGTATCCCGGTAAGACTTGGAATCGATCGAGTTGCTAGAAGCCAGGCTTTCTTCTGGAGTGTTCAACACGCCATATCAAGCTTTGAATGCGCCATCTTCCTGGGGAAATGGCTCTTCTCTATTCCCAGGCCCTTTCGCGAAGACATGTTGTCTCGATCAGAGTATCGTATACTGCATTGGGTACGCTGTATCACCAATGAGGCGTATACGGTGATTGACTTTGAAGAGACTGAGAATAGTGATGGCCTTCTACGAACTCCTATCGACCCAGCTGTGCTGGGCCTTGCAGTTTTGAATATATGGTCTCGTTTCTTCCGTGGTAACAGTCAATGGCAGTTTGTTGTGAATCTGGGATTAAGCTTGGAGAGGTATATCAAACTAATTACGTAAATGTCCTTGTCTCTACAAGGACCTTCGTCGGAAATACTAAGCTTCACCCAAATATCTGCTAGCCCGTAAATCAAGTGTACGCAATAGTTGCAGTTACAGCAGCACTAACATTGGATGGGCGAGTAACCTCAGAGAGTCCGCATGTCACTCCAGATTGTACCTAAGAGTCTTGTCCCTAAAAAAGGGGCATATTTATCAGTCTGAAATGTGCCAGTCTTTGAGTTCGAGTTGAGGCATTTAGCCAAGATACGGCGCACAGATTAAGTAAGCCACAGGCTCTGGTTGGTTGGATCCCCAAAAGGAGGTGAGCCAGTATCTGATTGGAACATCCGCTAGCATGGCCTACGAAGGAGCGAGTGTGAGCGGTGCGGTGTCTTGAAATTCCATGCAAGATGTGGAATTGATGAGATGGTTTCCTCCTGCTTTGTCAACATGTGCTCGTCTTCGTTCGAAGCGAGTGAGCGAACGTCTGTCCTGGCCCATGTGGCAGTATACGAAGGAGCTCGTCCCTAAGAGACAAAATGGAACGATGATGGTGGCTTGTGCGCTGGAACTGTTCTGTCACTTTGAACCAGCTTCGTACGTATTCATGTGGAATAGAGACCTCGGTTGTTAAATATGTCTATTTCTCGAACAACACATAGGAAAACCTAGATTCTCACTCGGCTTAGGATGTCCCGCCCGGTACCGATAAAATATACCTATGCATGTTGTGTTAACCATATCCTAAATATCCCTCACCCCTGTACTCGATTTCCTATACCCATAAAGTGGCCATGATGCGCCATTCCATGGAGCGGAATCGTTCTTCGGTGGGACGAATTGGGTGAACACACCCGTGCAGCCACTGCAGAGTGCAGACCGTTGGGTTTGCAGTACATACTATTCGGTTACCCCAGGTAACGGTAGATCAGAAGGCCGAAAAGGAACCACTCCACTATTATACCGTTTCTGGTAACTAATGTCCGCTACCCCTAAGGCCCTACACACGCGAATGCAGGGCGTTTCTACCGAAGAGTCGCATACCCAATTTTGAGCCAATTTTACACCTCACCCGTGTGGCAAGGGCCAATGGTGCAGCATGTTGGAATGGGTGCGCATCCTTCGAGATGAAAGCGGATGCAGGTTGCCGAACTAGCCCCGCAAACTCCTTCCAGAATCATATAGGTATAGAAGGATATGCAGAGGCCGCGAGAATGGAAAATTCTGAGTCTAGGCTTTTCCAACCCGCCTTTCTTCAATCATCCTATTAGTAGCCGGCTTCGCCCCATTACTGTTTCTAGTCGTCCAGTCGTTGCAGTAATCTTCGTCTTCACTTGGCCATGTACTCACGTACCATTCTCTCGGGTCTGCTGTTGGGAGCATTGCCCTTACTGGCTTCAGCACAAGATGGCACGAACGCCACAATCCCCACTCCCCCGAAGCCTAGTACACCAGCAGGCGACTGCGTTGGTGTGAACGCCATCAGCCCAAAATGTAACAGCCAAGAATCTGCGTACCAAAGAGACTTCTTTTACATCGGTGGTGGCTATGTCGACTCTGGCATTCCGGGCCAGCAGATGTGGAGCGACCAACTATACGTTGAAAAGCTGACGCCTGCCACAAAGGTCAACAAGCCTTACCCGATGGTCTTCGTTTCCGCGGGTATCAACTCGGGTGCAGAATGGCTGAATACGCCAGACAATCGCAAAGGATGGGCTTCCTATTATCTTGACCAAGGCTACCAAGTCTACATCGTTGACATTGCTGCAAACGGCCGAAGCGGCCAGCAACTTCTCTCAAAATACCCTCTACGCCTTGGTTCTACAGACGTCATCAATGAACAGGGTTTCACAGCTGTCGGGGACTTTGATCAATACCCCCAAGCAAGCTTACACACCCAATGGCCCGGCAACGGAACTCGTGGAGACCCAGTCTTCGACACTTTCACCGCCGCTAACGTCCCCCTCTCTTCATCCAGCGTGAACGTGGAAAACACCATGCGCACATCTGGATGCCAGCTTCTCAGCATGATCGGCCAGTCATATGCCGTCTGCCATTCTGCCGGCTGCACCTACACAGCTATCTGGTCAGACGCATGCCCCGATCTCCTCCGTGCAAACATCAACATCGAGCCCGGCAACATCCCTTTTACTTCATTCGTCGGAGGCTCGACTGGTGTCGGTGGCGGCCGTACCCCTGCTCGACCGTGCGGTCTCACATACACACCGCTGCAATACGATCCTCCTGTGACAAACTGCTCGGCCATTACCACCGTTGAAGTTGGACTAGACACCCCCGCCGAGCGCTCTTGCATGCTTCAAACCGGTACCATCCACAAACTTACGCAGGTCGGCAAAGTACCGTATATCATGATTACGGGTGAGGCCAGCCAGCATATCACGTACGACTACTGTTTCGTGGCGTACTTTGAGCAGATGGGCCTCACGAACTTTCAGTGGATCAAGCTTGCGGACCTGGGAATCAAGGGGAATGCGCACTTTTTGTTCTTGGAGAAGAATAATTTGGAGATTGCGGCGGCGATTAACTTGGGTCTTGAGAAGCTGAATGAAGGGCCTGATGCTCCGGGTCATCCTGGTCTCCCTATCTCTTTGGAATGAGAAATGTAGTGTATGAATAGCTACTAGGGTATAAATCTGGTTTCATGTATATAGCTCGGGGGCTGCGTTGTGTAAATACAAAATGTAGAGAAGAAGGCTGGTGTAGAGTGTAAGCTTTGTATGAAATGTTCATCAATCATTTATCCATACGAACATTACCACTACTCGTTATTAAGCACTGTTCCTCATACAAGCGCATTACCAATCTTCTCTATCCACCAGCAACCCCTCACCTCTTCGTTAACAAAAACCTCACCTCGCTTTGAGCACACTATCCAGCACCCCAACCCTCTTAACCCAACTCCTCGCCCTCTTCCCATAAATATACATAGGAATCGTAAACAGCGTCACCGCCACCGTCGTACCACCAATCACATAGAATGTATCTCTTACCCCCTGCGTAGCAATCCAGTCGTTGGCGTAGAACGTCAATCCAAACGCGAAAAGGTTCTTGATGAAATTCATGATGGCGAAGGCCTCGGCCGACTCCTCGCGGTGGCAGTCCGAGACGTAGGTTACTACGGCTGTGGTACCGAGTTGTACGCCGAGGTTGATGAGGCCCATGCAGACGATGACGGGGACGGGCCATGGCTCCTCTTTGTAGAGGGCTTCGCCCCAGGCGAAGAAGCCGACGGCGGTGAAGGCGAGGTATGTCACCATGACTGGAAGTCTGAACTCGGGTTCTGTGATTTCCATCAGCTACCACCAAACCTTTTTCTTTGTATTGACAAGATACATACCGAAAATACCGTTGTTATGCTTAGACATGAGTTTCGCCACGCCATCGATGATGGGGCCCGCTATCAATGTGGCCAAGACCGAGGCTACGAATGAAGACATGTTTGTAGCGCCGACTGCACTGACGGAGAAGTTATATGGCGGTGCTGAGAAAATCTGCGATAGCGTTATGGAGATTAGGACGAGCCAGGATATGCAGATTGTAAATAACAGCGTCGCCCACATGACCACTGGGCTGGCTATCATGACAAAAGGGCGAATGAACGTGCGCCAGAACGATACATCGTCCTTGTAACCAGACCAAAACTGAAGCGTTTTCTTGTACGAATCGCGGGGTTCCGATGAGGGAGATGACTGGCGTACACTGTCTTCGATGCGTTCGACGGGCTTGTCTTTGTGCTTCTCGGAGATATCGAGAGTGTGGACGCTAGTATCGATATTCATGGCGTTATTGCGGTGATATGCTGTTTCGGGCATGAAGAAGAAGACGAGAAGGAACATGATGATGAAGGCGCCGCCCATTGCGTACATGGCAATGCGGTAGGAACCATATTGGATAATGGATCCGGCTGATTTAGTCAGTATTGTAATGCCTTTTTTTTCGAGAATTCGTTCATACCTATGGGACTAGCCAAGTTCTGAGTATAGTGTTAGTTGGGTCGTATTTCTAGCTATTTTACAGGTAACTCACAATTCCGCCCAGGACTCCTAAATTGAAAATCGCCATTCTAAATCCGCGCTCATGTACGTGCCACAGGTCGCCAACTGAAGACGGGATAAGCGCTTCGAAAGGAGCTGTTCTTGTAAGAAGACGATATGGCAAGAGAAATGTCAACTCATCTTACCCATACAAAACCCCTGAATAGCTCTCGCAGCAGTGAGCGAAGCGAAGCTCGAAGACCCCGCGACCCAGAAGCTCGAAGCTGCCAACCCCAGTGTAGTCACGAGATAAATCGGTCTCTTTCCTATCTTGACGGCCAGTGTATTGCAGAGAAGACTGCCGCCGGCAATGGCTACGATGCAGGATCCGTTTGCACCTAGTCGAGCACCAGTCAGAGCAATGCTTTTGCGCTAGGTGGATTTCGTATTACCAAGGGTAAATCGTTGCAACGGCACGTCAAATTGCTTTGCCAAAGGTACGAAGGCGGATGTTAATAGCGGTCCGACAGCTAATCCCCCAGTCAGCCTCGTAAAGTTAAAGTGAGTAGTCAATCTCTTACCTCCTACACACCCACATCCGTAGGCAATGACAACTGTAAACTACTCCTCGTCAGCTTCTTCACAGCATCCTTCATATTCAACACTCAACTCACCATCTCCTTCTGCCATCGCGGCCAATTATACGGATCATTCGGTGAATCCGAGGGCTGGGGGATAAGCACAACCGTCCCCGTCGCATCATGCTTGAGCAGCGAAACATCGATTCCCGATGTAGTCTCAAGATCGAGGCGTCCCAATTCACTCAACGGCGCCGTCCCCGGCACCTTTTCGAGCCTATAGTCTTGCAGTATACCCAGCGGCATGATTTCTTAATTTGTCTACAAAAAAAAAGGGAACAAAAATGGTTGGAGGAAATGTAAAGACGCAGATTCCTTATTAAAGCCACGGGCATTTATCGATTGGTGGTGGTTATCCGGGGATAATACTCAACACCAGCTGCTGAAATATGTAGCCATAGAATGGATGTGGGGTAAGTAGCACTCTTCACGCGGCAGTTGGCCGCAAGACCAGGGTGCGGTGAAAAAGAAGCGTGCGGGGGTTGCGGGTGCGGGGAACTTTGGAAGTTACAGTTGCACTTATTGAGCGACTATGGGGTAGTACAAGCAGGTGATGCGGCAGCTACGTAGGAAAAAAAGTGGGTATCGGTAAGACATTGCCGATGGATCTACATGCATAAAGGGGCTTGGATTGGTATAGTCGTGTTGCATGTGTGCAGCGATGGGGTCCGCTTAAGTGACATTGCCGCTTTGCCCGGTTGTTGAATTGCCTGGGGGGGGGGGGGTGTTACGAGAAGCGGGAGAGTTGTTTGGGTTTGTGCTGTATGCGAATAAGCAAATGGGGAATATATGATTTGAGAGATGCTTGCTAGACATAAGCACAAAAAGGTTATTTCGAATAGAGTTGCACAGCAGTCACGGCAGACTCTTACTTCGTTTCTTGCTCACAGACAAGGGTTATACTACCAAAAGCCACCATATACTTCGGACCGGGCAACGGACCCAGCCCCACATGTAGCCACACGAAATCAAGGTCTCGTTTACTGTTTCGAGGAGACACCGTATATGCGCTCCAGCTGAGAGCAAACTGCTTCCGTGACCTCATTCGTCGAGGAGCTGCCTCCGAGATCACGAGTCGCAACGCCTCGCTCGGTAACTGACTCCACACTCTCCATAAGCTTCTGAGCCGCTTGCTCCTCGCCCAGCCATACTAGCATCTCGGATGCAGTCCAGAACGTGCCTACTGGGTTTGCGATGCCCTTACCCGTGATGTCGAATGCTGAGCCGTGGATTGGCTCGAACATGGATGGGTTTTGGCGTGTAGGATCAACTGTTTTCCTTTAGTATCACTGCAAGGATGAATAGGATAGAAGACGCTCACGATTACTGGTCGGTGCAATACCAATCGAGCCAGCCAGGGCGGCTGCAAGGTCTGAAAGGATATCCGCATGCTGTACGCGTCAGTAACTGACCTGTTCCTGAAGTAACATATCTCTACTCACCAAGTTCGTTGCCACAATTGTATCCAGCGACTTCGGATCCAGCACCATCCTGCACGTCATAGCATCAACAAGCATCTTATCACACTTGACGTCTGGAAACTCTTTCGCAACCTCCGCAGCAACCTCATCCCACATGACCATCCCATTGCGCTGTGCATTGCTCTTCGTAACAACAGTGATGTGCTTCCTCGGTCGCTTCCGTGCAGTCTCAAACGCGAAACGCAGCAAACGCTCTACGCCGTGTCGCGTAAAGATGGAGACTTCGGTGGCGATTTCCCAAGGCTGGCCTTTATGCGATCGGCCTCCTTGACCTGCGTATTCTCCTTCAGAGTTCTCACGTACAATGACCCAGTCGAGGTCGCCGTGCTCTGCTTTTCGCAGGGGAGATGAAGTGCCACGGAAGATTTTGGTTGGTCGGACGTTGGCGTATTGCTGGAAGGTTTGGCAGATGGCGAGGCGGAGACCCCATAGAGAAATGTGATCTGGGACGTCTGCAGTCGATTAGCAAGTTGGGTGCTTGCACTCTTGGATCTTCTACGCACCTGGAGCGCCAACAGCACCGAAGAGAATTGCGTCGTGCTTCTTGAGTTCTTCTAGGCCCCCGTCGGGTATGTACTTTCCCGTCTTTTTGTACGTTTCTGAGCTCCAGTCGTAGTCTTTGAATTGCAACTGGAATGATCCATCTAGCTGTGAGAGTTTCTTCAAGACTTGTACACCAGCGTTGACGACCTCCGGACCAATGCCATCGGCGCCTATTGTGGCAATGTTGTGTGTGCGTGTAGTTGTGCTTGGAGACATGATGTAGGTTGCACTGTTGTTGCTTTATGATGAGATCTTAACAATTAAGCACCAGGTTTCTCGTCACCCAACCCAACTTTACACAAGTATTCATATAGCATGGGTTACGGACTAAGAATTACCACTGCCAGTCAGTCTCATGTGCTTGGACAGGTTTGGTCGCAATGCTTGCCACTGGTGTTCTCCAGTCCCGCAAATGCGGGGAAGTACCGGAGAAACAAAGTCCGGCACATGTGCCGAGCACGACGTTGCTGTTCGTTTCGTTCTTTGCATTCAACAATTTGTTGTTACTGCGAAAAGTCCCAATGTTGCTCTTGGTCGAACCAGAATGGTATATCAAAGCCGGAAAAGGGATCTAAGCCGTTTGGATTACTGAATGCCATACCTCCAGTCTCTTCCATTGTCATGTACGTATTCCAGTAACTATCGTCAATACCAAAAGTAGGCTCTACTCCTGCCGACCCAGCCAAAAGTTCGGAGTCTGGGTTGGTGGCGCGCTCCTGGTTTTCCGCTGTTCCATGTGAGCTTTTGCCCGGATGTATCGGGTCGTGTTGAATATAAGTTGTTTGGAAAGCGTTGAATGATGTATCAGTGACTCTATCTTCGCCTGTGTCATTACTTGGAGCAACTATACTAGCATCTTGAGTTGTTTGGTAAGACATGCGAGCACGTAAGTCGCGTATTGCGGCAGAGCTCGCCTCCGGCCATGCGCTTCCACGCCGAGAAAGATGCTCAAGTATTTGCA